TCCGCCAATGCTGAGCCGTGTGAGTGCCACACCACCCAGCGAGTATCCACAGGAGCATCCACTGGAGGTATCGGGCACCAGGGCCTCCCTGCGCGTTGCCAAGCGAGGCCTCAAGGTCCCACCTGTGGAAAATACTGGTAATGAGTATTTCATGTTGGTGATAGGATCATGTTCAATAAGTCAAGTCGAAGCCAGAAGTCTCTGCAATTTGAACAGAACAAGGCATCGTCTGGCTTGACCTGGGAGGATGACACAGTCTGAAGAATCGGGTGGCTGAGAACCGATGTCATAGCTGCCCGTAGCCACTAAAATTAGGCGGTATCGAACACTGGATCTTAGGTGGAGTCTAGCGTATCATTTTAATATCTGACTGCGATGTCTGTTTCGCCATCAATGTGTGTTTTCACAACATTGAACAAATTCCACACAGAGCAGGGTGTTTTCTTCTTGCCGATACTACGCTACCGAAACCGCCGCGACCACTTTAATCACAGAGAGAGGGACCAATACCATGGCTTTCTGATTGGCATCAGGAGCGCAAGATGAGCTCCAGCGCCAACAACGCAAATGGAAGCTCCCATTCGGAGCACTGGCGCCTTCGACGCCCATCTGTAGGCCTGCACCTATCTTGGCCGGCGTTGCTATTTGTACTTACCAGGAATTAGAACATGCGCAATGGAACCTTCATTGTTCCATTGACGGGCGAGCGATCACGACAACAATTCGACTTGCGGACCTCTGTCGACATAGCCGCCGCCAGCAGCGGGGACAACTCGTCTGACGAAGCCGACAACGAGCCACCACCTGATATCAAGCAAGGGTATCTCGAGATATTGAAGCAGGAGGCAAAGGAGAAGGCGGAGGCAGTATGGCAATGGGTCAATTCGGAACAAGGACATGGCGTGCTGAAATGCACCTTTGCCTACCTGCTGGGTAGCATGGGAACCTTCTGGCCGCCTCTTTCCGACTTCCTTGGACATCGCGATGGGAAACACGTTGTTGCGACCTTGACTGTGTATTTCAACCCTGCTCGCTCGGCTGGGTCAATGCTGGAAGCCATCGCGATCGCCATCATCGCCGTGATATATGCCGTGTTGGTTTGCCTGCTATCGATGCTCATTGTTATCCTTGGGCGGAAGCTCGATATTGTCGATGCGGCGCACTTCCTCGTCTTGGTTGTCTGTATCGGCGGCGGTCTTGGGTTTGTCGGTTGGGTGAAACAAAAGATGAACCAGCCCCTGGTCAATGTCGGATCTACGTTGACATCAATTGCCATCATTTCGGTCGTCACCAAGGAGGAGTCCATCCAGGATGGTTATTTCTCGGCTGTTAAGATTGTACAGGTCCTCAAGATGCTTGTCTTGGGCATCTCGTTTACATCTGCCATCAATTTTCTCGTCTGGCCAGTCTCGGCTCGACGGGTTTTACGAACCGCGATTGTCAAAGCATCCTTGGCCCTGAGCGACAAGTTATCGATTGTCTCTGAGAGTTTCCTTAACGGATCCGAAGAGGAACTGAAGACCAAGGAGTATGCTCAAATCAGAGACAGCTACAACAGTGCCTACTCGCAAATCACCAAGATGACACGAGAGGCTAAGAATGAGTATTATGTTGTTGGGAGAGAGAAGCTATATCAACTTGATAAAGCCCTCGTGAAGTCGGTGGAGAGGCTATCACAAGCTATCGCAGGTCTCCGAAGCGCGCTGGACACCCAATTCACTCTCCTAAAAGAGACACCTACAGGAAGCCAGCAAATTCTGGATAACGTGCCCCTCGTTCTCAGCCCCCAGACGTCGCCAAAGATACCTCGTACCTTGTCTGAGTTATTCGTGGCGCCGATAGGAGACCTATCTGCCATCAATGAATCAGATGAAGACCAAAAGTCTCAAAAGAACCTCCCCCGACCTAAATCGGACCCTTCACTGGATCAAACACCCATGTTCCGCTACCCCTCCGATATTTTTGCCCATTTCATCGAGCTCCTTGGTCCTTCGATGAAATCCTTATCTTATACTCTATCTGAAGCTCTGAGGGAATCACCCTTCGGTGACGACCCTATTGCACACGTAAAGGTGAACACTCAGCTACGACGAAGTCTGCAAGATGCTCTTGCCCTGTACAATGAAGCAAGGGGAAAGGCCCTTCAGGACCTCTATACAAGTGTAGAGCTAGGGCGTTCGCGATCCGAGGAGATACAAGCAGATTTCGAAGAAGTGGCTGCTGCATGCGGGCATTTCTCTTTCAGTTTGCGAGCCGTGGCAGAGGAGATGGACGCCTACCTTCTTGTCCTCGAAGACCTCCAGTTTGTGCAGGAGTCTTCGAACCTGAGCTGGAATTGGCTCAAGTTTTGGAAACACTTTAGCTTTGGAAGGAAGAAAGAAGGCCTCCGATTTACGGATCCCGAGCAAGAGGAGCTTCTTCCCAGCCAGAAAGTCAATCGTCTTAAGCAAAGTGCTCTGCCAAAAGGAATACCCAAGCAGATGATCTCGCGCCGAGATACCTTTAATTGGGATGCTGCACCTCATGCTAACAGGATGAAGAGGGCATTCTCACAAAAGGTACTCAAATTAATGCGCTTTTTGACACGGGAGGATATTATCTTTGGTGTCAAGGTTTGCATTGGTGCCATACTATACGCCCAGTTCGCTTTTATTCCTAGTACACGCCCTATCTACGAGACATGGAGAGGTGAATGGGGGCTCTTATCATACATGATTGTTGTCGCTATGACAACAGGTGCCTCCAACACCACCAGTACGTCTAGATTTATCGGAACCCTGATTGGCGCTGCTTGCGCAGTGGTGGCCTGGATCATCGGCCAAGAGAACCCATTCTTATTGGCCTTCTTGGGCTGGCTTGTTGCGCTCTGGAATTCTTATCTGATCGTGGTTCTCAACAACGCTTCCATGGGCAGGATTTGTCTATTGGCATACAACGTGATCACGCTTTATGCCTACAGCATCTCTCAGGATGTAGATGACGACGACGATGATGAAGGAGGAACAAGCCCCATGATTTTTGACATTGCTTTCCATCGTGTTGTCTCCGTGACAATTGGAATTCTTTGGGGAATGATATTTTGTCGACTGGTGTGGCCTATCTCTGCTCGTCGCAAATTCCGCGAAGGTCTCGCGGTTCTCTACCTTCAGATGGGTCTTATTTGGAAGCGTGGCCCGCTGGCTGTTCTCAAGGACTCGAGAAGTTTGCCTGACTACATGCGAGAGGGCGAGCAGGCCGCACTTCAACGCTATGGTAAGTGGCTGATTTGTCTTATTTCAATTTACGACAAAAGTATATGTGAGCTCACATGGTGAAATCTAGCCTACAAGCTTGAAAGCCTCAGAACTTCTGCTCAGGCCGAGTTCGAGCTTCGAGGCCCCTTCCCGAATGCATCTTACGCTAGGATCATGCGCTCAACCAAACACATCTTGGATGGCTTCTATGCCATGCGACTCATCGGCCAGAAGCGTGCGCAGCTATCCGAAGGAGAATGCGCCCTTCTCGACTTCACAGCCGAGGAGCGCGAACAGCTGTGCCAACGAATCTGCCACGTGTTCCAGGTGCTCGCCTCCTGCATCATGCTCGAGTACCCCCTCACGGATGCCATCCCCACCGTCGACCGTAACAAGGACCGCCTCCTGGGCAAGATATACCAGTTCCGCAAGGACCACATGGCCGACCGGCTCATCAACAATGGCCACGCCGCCATCGCGGACGAGAGCGACTACGCTCTCCTTTATGCATACACGCTCGTGACGGCACAGGTGGCCGAGGAGCTCAAAAAGGTCCGCGAGGAGATTGAGGCGCTGTTTGGTGTCCTCCACGAAGAATCACTTTTGCTTGAGTAAGAAAGCAACATAACCTTGGGTCTGTGGATTATTTATCTTGGCGAGCAACAAGTTTGGGATTCGCTTATTTCGGAGCTTCTTCTGTAGCGCGGTTTCCGGTCGTTATATGCGGTTTAATATTTGTTAACCATAAATTGTTTTATTGCCTTACTGGCCATCAGCGAGCTGGGATTACGGTCTTTGTGAGATAGAGAATGAACCCGACTAACTAAATCGAATAAATGTTCAGGAAGCAATGTGTTCTCATTTCATGGATCGTCATTATAAACTACTTCTATATGTATATCGCTGGACCTGGCATACCAAATATCAAGAAATGGCCGTTGGGGAAGAAAAAACTAGATGATCACTTCTCGGAGCTTGCCCTGCCCGCCGATTGTGTACTCTACCCATCTTCCCACGCCCTTTTGCCCCGGGACGAGGACACTGCTTGGGTTCATGACATGGCACCCTTCATATGTGATGCAGAAAGGCGGGGCCGTGATGTCTACGAGAACCATGGCCGTTGGGAGCGGATACAGGTGTAGTGCTCCGGCATAGTCCCAGTGGACGGGGCGGAGGGGTTGGCGGAACGGAGAGAGGTATCCCTGATCGAGGATGGACTTGACCAGCTTTTGGGCGGCGCGGGTATCGTGGGACGTAGATGGCGGGGCGCTGGTGCCGTTCTCTTGTGTTTGATCTTGAGTCTCCTGGTCTATATCCATGGACTCGGACTGAGATGGTGCGGGCGCATCGGGATCACCCTCATTTGTGTTTTCCTGAGCGCCGTCTTTAGATTTCAAGTTGACGCATGTTCTTCTCAAACGTGCTGAGATGTCGTCTCTAAAGAGGACTATCTCGTTGTTGGGCCCAAAAAGGGATAGGCGGCTTGGGTTTGTCGTCCAGTGCGCCGAACCGGGCACGGCGTGATTGGTTTCTGCGTTGGCGGTCGCGAATGCACGTCGGATCCGCGAGGTGAACATATCAGGGACCCCTTTTCTGGGGAGCGGCACGGAGCCGCCGGCTGTGAAGGACGAGACCCAGCCATCATTGTCTCCTGGAACGAAGACGAATGTGCACGTTTGGAGCAGGGTTGGGAAGTCGGACAGTGTGGAGGCTAGAGCATCGAAGCATTCTTTGTATTCGATACTGCCGCCGCTGCCACCCCGGGCCATGACTGCGTGCTGTGTGAAGTTGCCGGTGAGAACAAATGTCATTGGTGATCTGCCTTCTGGTTCCGTGGCGTAAAGAGATAATATTCTCCTAAGCGCTTGAAGTGCACGGGGTTGGTCGAGGTTAAGTTCTCCAATGATGACGATACGGTCGCGGCCGAGGGTGTCTTCTTCCTCAAAGGGGCCCCTGAGGAGGCGTTTCTGCAGTCTGCGCATCTTCGGACCAACCGCACGCTCACTGCCAACACCGAGGAAATCGATCCAGCCGAAGCCTCCTCCTATGATTTGGTCCCGCCCGCCCTCAGGGCCGCTGATTCCCAGCGTCGCTTTCCGTTTTTCGCAGGGAGGCTGGCCAATGTAGAAGCCTTGGAAACGACCGCCTAGCGTACCTCCAACACCGCTGCTGCCGCTCAAGCCTTTGCCAACAGACTCATCTTCCTCTTCGTACACACCGTCAACCAGGACAATCATCCCAGGGCAGAACCAAGCAGAATCTTCGGGAATTGATACTGCCTGTTCGAGATCGAGTGCGATTGTACCAGTCATGTCACTTATTGCTAAGTCACCGGTAGGCAGAATTGTTAGCTGACCGAGAAGCATATGTCCACTGCCATGTCGACCTAGAAGGTTGGTAATCGGCGTGATTTTGAGAGATTGCTGACTCGATAATGACTGATGGCCCGATCGCTTCCGGGACTCTGATACGGTTGAGGATTGGAATGCTTCATTTCTGAGGAGGCGCTGGTGAATAACATGATAGCGATTGCGGAACGCTGTTGTTTTGTGAGAGGCAACTGGTAGTAACGATGGCTTCGCGACGTCTCTGTTGTTTGGTTAGCTTATAGAGTATGACAACTGTTGAATCCACGTGGATATTTCATACCTTTCAAAATGCTTCTTACCCACGTTGAAGAGTAATCGTGGCTGTTCGTATGCGTCTATGACCTTGAGCCACCCCCGAGGATCATTAATCTCGTCGTCCTCGTCAGCTTCTTGGCTGACACCGAGGCCTGACATGCCAAAACTGGTATTGCTGTCCTCTCTCACAGGGCCTTGCGGCCTCAGACCCAACCTCGTATTGACGATATCGCCCTCCACACTTGCGGACCCCAGCAAGCTGTTCTCCCTCGAGAGGCCTCTTCCCTGACCGACGATTTTACCCCCGCTCATGTTCCCTTCCAGTGTTTTCAGAATATCCTGCAGCGCTTTACTGGAACCCTCTACAATGACACCTCCATTAGAGTTCTTCCAGCTTCTCGCAATCTCCTCCAGCACCTTTTCCGCCAGACCCTCCTCGCGCCATCCCGAACCGCATTGCCGCCCGATGAACGAGGCCAGCTCCTGCAGAGCGGTGGAGTTGAGGGTTAATGCATGCTTTTTTGTGAATATACGGAAGGCTAGGGGTCGCAGAGTAGGCGGAGGGAGGATGATCGGGAGAATGGCGGCATTGGGGGCGTTGACACCGAAGGGTTTCAATGGATGGGCTGGAGTGCCGAATGCAGGCGACGAAGACGGGATCGATGATGATGGAATCTGCTGCTGTTTTTTGCGAAATAACGGTGCCGGCGTCTTATGCATTTTCGAGGTCGGATGAAGCGAGCTGCAGCATTAGTCTGTACTGGGAGAATTGGAGGCAGGAATACGATCCGGGGTATCTGTATCCTTCCCATGGGATGATGGACTTTTTGGTGGGGTGTAGAAGCTCTGTCCGACCGCGTCGACGCGTTTAATTGAATTTCACTAGATGCATTTACTCGCATAAATGCATATTTCGCGTCCAGCTCGTGTTCCAAATAGCATTAATTTGTTTGTAAGTGATAACTTTCGTATTTCTTTTCTATGAATTAACAATTATCTTTTTGCCGTAATTAAGAAGCAGGTTTGAAAGCTAACTTGATCCATGGCACTGTGCCTGAGAACTGTACCGGAGGAAGTTAACGGCCACTCTTCCCAACATCTTTCTTGCCATTGCCTCGCATCTCGACCTGGAACCAGCTGAGCCATGTCTAAGTAATATCATGAGGGGAAATCTCTGCTGTTTAGACAATATCTCCTTGCAGCCAGCTTTTTAGCCTCTCTGATTGCTGACATGACTGGAAATTTATGTAAAGTTGAGGACAACGAGGCTGTTTAAGTTGCTTGCCGGAAGAGGCTTCACATGGCACTGGGGGGAAAAAAACCAACGTAGCGAAAACGATGTAATATTACAGCAGAGCAAGATGGTCTCCGATATACGCAAAAATTATTGAACCCGGGGCTTTATCGCCTTTTTTTGGTGGATATGTATGTCCATCACCACAACTCATACAATAGCAAGAATATGTTGCTTTGCCTAGTCACCTACACAATGATGGCTTATTTCGCCTTGGCATACTCTTGTTTCAGTCTCTCAACTAGTTTCCCCCTTAGAAAAGGGCTCAATCCAAGTCTATAAAATAAGAAGTTTAGCTATTGTCGCATTAGAGCTCGTTGGGGATGGAAGAACTTACATGCCCTCGTTCGTGACGATACGATAGGTTCCGCTGGGTTGGACTTTGCCAATTACAGTGCCTGTCTGATCCACCTCGACACTGCCAAGGATATCCTCTGGCCAGGCTATTCTGCCGTAGTCGGGAGGATTTCTGCGATCGCTCAAGTGCACCCATCCACCACGGCCTGCACCCCCAGCACCACCCTGGGAGCTTGCTCCTCCAGCGCCATCCCCTCCAGCAGCGCCTTTCTTTTGGCGGCGCTTCTGCTGGGGGAAGAACACTCCTCCAGACCCAAGATTGAATCCTCCCGGCCCGGCCAGTGCGCGGGCTTGGCTCACAACATCTTCATCTTCGTGACCGTACTCTTGTATTACTTGATCCAGAATCTTGAGGAACTCGGGGTTTTGGCGAAAGGATTGGGGAGTTGGAGGGATGATGGCGGATGTTCCAATAGCAAGTTGCTTCGAAGGCGGATCGTTGTCGAGGAGAGTGAGGATGTGGGATGCTGGGGACGTGTGGTCGTCGAACACTTTCTGGCGATCGATGGTCAATGAGGTAGCTCGGAGACCTGGCTTGCGCTCGCATTGAAGCTTACAATATGTGGATTGTTGGGCAGGGACGAAATTGCTCTGGCAAAGATCAGATGGGCTCGCGGGGCCCATCGGATACTGGACGAAAGGGCAAACATGGTGTTGATATCAAGCTCGGGTTCGCAAGACCATTATTTGCAGCTTGTGCTGGCAATTGAGTCTGCTGCTGGCAAGGGAGCACCAGACGAAGCATGTGCCCCACCCTGCCAGGCCTGTCCCGGCTTCTTTCAGCGGCACCAGCGACTGCCGCTACGTAATGTCGTACAAGTACCTGCGTCCTAACCTTGCCCGTATCACCAGACTACGGCGATTGGCTTCCCCAGATAGAAGCCAGGTACCGATACTCGACTCGCCCCCGGCGTCCGGAACCAACCCCTCCACTCCACCCCACAGCATCAACAGCTCCAAACCGTCCCATCATTCCCAACCACAATACGACAGAACTCCACCTCAGCTTCTATGTCTGGCACGCTCGTCAATCCAGGCTGAGCTTAGCAGGACGTCATACATCAGACCGCCCAATTTCCATCGTCCCATCGCCGCCGCGCCCATCTCACAGCCTTTCCTCCGACCGTCGCCGACCTCCAAGAGCCGACCCCACGAGGGAGCCTTGGTTTTCTCAGCCCAACACCACCTGGTTCCCTACAGCCGCCATCATGGCCCCTCGCGGATTCGAGGACGAGGAGCTGACAATATCTCTCTCCTCCTCCCACGTGCGCCGACAGTTCCAGCCCCCGCCTCCCCCTCAACAACCCGACAATGGACCCGAGGAGCAGGTCCTATCCCCGCGGTCTGGTGCGGCTGAGATGCCGACTAGGAAGAAGACAGAACAGCGAATCGGTGCTTATAAGGTTGTGCGTACCTTGGGAGAAGGATCTTTCGGGAAAGTCAAGCTTGCCATTCATCATGGAACCGGGCAGCAGGTCGCTCTAAAGATCATCGCAAGAAAGAAGCTGATCAGCCGTGACATGGCTGGTCGTGTCGAGCGGGAGATCGAGTACCTCCAACTGCTGCGACATCCACATATCATCAAATTGTGCGTGAGACGAATCAAGCTCCCTCGTTTTCCAAATCTATACTAACCCGGGATTTTCCAGATATACCGTGATTAAAACTCCCAACGAGATCATTATGGTCCTTGAGTATGCAGGCGGTGAGCTTTTCGACTATATTGTTGCCCACGGGCGGATGAAGGAAACAGAAGCCCGCCGATTTTTCCAACAAATGCTATGCGCAGTTGAATACTGCCATCGTCACAAGATCGTCCATCGCGACCTTAAGCCGGAAAATTTGCTTTTGGACGAGAACCTCAACGTCAAGATTGCCGATTTTGGTCTGAGCAACATCATGACAGACGGTAACTTTCTCAAGACAAGCTGTGGCAGCCCGAATTATGCTGCTCCTGAAGTTATCGGCGGTAAGCTCTATGCTGGCCCTGAAGTGGACGTATGGAGCTGCGGTGTCATTCTGTACGTCCTCTTGGTCGGCCGTCTGCCTTTTGACGATGAACATATCCCTAGCCTGTTCGCCAAGATCGCAAGAGGAACGTATAGCATCCCACAGTGGATGCCTACTGGCGCAGCCAACCTCATCAAGAAGATGCTTGTAGTGAATCCGGTTCAGAGAGCTACTATTGATGATATTCGAGAGGACCCATGGTTCCTGAAGGATCTTCCTCCATATCTGGCGCCTCCAGCTGAAGAATTTCTTCACACCGGAGTGGACCCTAACAAGGCCATTGAAAAGAGCGACCTTGCGCCAAATGCCCCCGAGAAGGTGCAAGAGAGGCTGCATAATGAAATCACCGAAAAGATTAGCAAAACTATGGGTTACGGGAAAGGTGACGTTGAGGAAGCACTGCAGGCCGAGGAGCCCTCAGCTATCAAGGATGCCTACATGATTGTGAGAGAAAACAAACTTATGCAGGTGAATCGTGAGTTCACTCCCTATACCTCCTTTTGTTGTCCACCCTCTCATGTTTTTCGAACTAGAACACCCAGAGATCTTGCTCGCTGAGCCCGAGAGTGCCAGCCCAATGATGAGCCAATCATCTAAGTCGGGGATATCGAGCAGCACCGTATCGCCTCGGCCATACGTTAGCAAAATTGGTATCCTGCCAAGCAGTCTCCCGAACTACCACAAGGACTTTTGGGAGCGTCAGAAGACTGGACGGGAGCAAGTCACCCCTTCAGAAACAACAGGTATCGAAGAACCCCCTTCATCAAGAACAGATGCAGAGAGGCAGGAAATGGCACGTCGTCTAAAGCCTCACTCTCGAAGCCAGCTGCGTATCGAAGAGGCCGCCGTCAAGCGGCCGCAGGGGCTAACGCCCGTGAGCGCCCAAAAGAAAACCAAGCCTGTGAGGTGGCAGTTCGGCATCCGATCGCGTAATGCACCTTGGGAAGCCTTACTCACGATTCACAAGGCTTTGCGTAAATTGGGTGCGACGCATGTACCTGATGAAGATTTTGACCCTAACCAGGGCAGAGGTAGTGATGGTGGCCACAGTGGGCAGGGTAGCTTTGCCGATTATTATGATGGCAGATCTGCTGGTGGTCGTTCAACTACAAGCCTTGACCCTACTCAAAGATATAAGCTCCCCGCCGACCCTTGGCACATCAAAGTCAGGTGGGACGCTTCAAGTACGTATATATCATCTCCTTGCATTCATGTTGAGTTCTTGGCTAATGTCTTCTGTTTAGCAATTCAAAAGAAGGTCCGCAACTTACCTGTTGGACCTGGGAAAGATGTTGTTGGCAGCCCAGATAGCTACCAACTATCCCTAGCAGAAGGCGGGCCGCCGAAACCCTTTGTTGCTATGCATTTAGATATCCAGATTTATGAAATGGAGCAAGGGGTCTACCTGGTCGATTTCAAGTGCTCAGGCTACGAGACGGCCCATGGTAAGATGCTTGAGGAGAAGGAAGTTACCAGTCCATACCCCTTCTTGGATATGGCAGCGAAACTTATTATGCAGCTCGCCGAGGCAGGCTAAGAACCTTTTGTCTCAAGATTGGGGATGGACCATGGATAGGCAAGCGATATGAGAAAGGATATATGGCGTTCTAGGAAACGGAGCAGGAGGAGCGGCCTCGGGTACAAAATCAGCGACCGAGGGGGGGATTGGTTCCTATTGGAATTCACCAATATGTTTGTTTTTGACTAGTGGCTTTCATATCGTTCTACACCCTGCTGAAGGGTTGACTAGCTTTGGCTACCTGTGCCCCATGTGGGACAGGCTCTGCCTCATTATGCCAACGGTTCTCAATCAGGGAATTTGACAACTTACAAGTGTGCATTGAGAACCCCGTCTGCCTTGAACTTGGGGTGGAAGAAAGGAGTGGTAAATCAGTCGAACCCATCTCAGAAATACATGTTTTGTGGCTGTCTTGTCTCGTTTTATCTTTCCTTGTGAGAGGTTGGACATAGAAGCTATATTCGATATGTGAGGCTCGTTGAGGTTTTGAGTATGATATGGCGTGAGAATCATTCCTTACCACGTTTCAAGAAACGTTGAGAGCGGTGGACGCTTTGGTTATTGAACTCCAGCTTCGAACAAACCATGTTAGGGCAATAGAATCTTAACAAGAATAGAGAATCTTCTTTCAAGACGTGTTCAAGCAACTCGTTGCACTTCCCTTTGTGCCTTAGCAAAAGGGGTATGAAGTGGTGAATGCCCCGAAATGATGATTTTTGAGTCAATGGACTGCTCGTTACGCGATTCGAACACACCACCCGCGGGCTATCAGGTACGTAAGTATTTCACGACCTTCAGAATTCTCCATGGATTTTAACCACGATGAGATCGAATACTTTCTATCCCGGGATTAGGTCTTCACCAATTATGGAGTTGGGCTTTTCCAATCATGGAAGAAATCAAAGGCAGGTTCTCGCCTAATAATGGAAGATAGCAGGGTGAGCTTTCACTTCTCCTAGAAATCAAGCATAGCCACCCCTTGACAGGTCTTCCTCTATGCGAGTAGTCAAATTTATCTTCAGTCATTTTAGGCTCGCTGCAACACAAAGTATAGGGGGTCGTGGGCGGGATTTGGAGAGCCGGCAGTGAAGGAGTTGATGCTTGGAGATAATGGTGTTGCCGTAGCAGCACCATTTCACACAGAATGGGTTTTGAAATTGGACAAGATGAAGCTTGTAGTCACTTTTTCAATACAGAACTTCCGGCCGTGGACCTTCAAGCTTTTGAGCTCTTTCGGGGCGATTGTGCAATCAGTCTGGTTTTGAAATTGAAGCATAGCCTAATTGGATCCGAGCTCCTTTTGAAGCCGGTTCCTATGAAGGGGCGTTGAGGTAGTGGACCATTTTCAAAATTGGTTGATTTGATGCCTTGGAGAAGGGAAGTGTTGGAGGCTATTTCTTCCTCGCTGTTGACTTGTGCGTTTGAAAGCAGAGGCTATCTGCAGTAGTTGTGAGGAAATGTGATCGAGGACTCGTCGCCAGCCTGCCGCTGCCCCTACTTATTGACCTAACATTTTTTCTTCACTGCAATAATACACACTAACAAACAATTGCTCATGTTTTGTCTCGGGGCATTATTGCTTGCAGTATTAATAGTGTTGATTTCCAATCAGAACACAATATTGACAGCTTTGGTGTGCGAAACTTGATAGCACATAGTTGGTTCTATATCATGTATGATTGAGGTCCCGGAAAATAAACCTAATCCATTCTCTATAAAACACTGGTTATCTCAAAGATGTAAAAACAAAGCTTCTGGTCATCATGGAATAAAAATAGATGTACATGCAGGCTTTTGCAAGTCATGGATATGAAGGGAAAACAACAACAACAACAACAACAAGATGCCATGAAGGAGTTCATTCCTTCATCGTGTAATACTCTGTACTATCGGACCCCGTCCCTGAATGATCTCTAGGGTTATCAGCTCCTGAATCGTCCTCAGAGCTATCAGCTTCAGAATCATCATCAGAGCTGCCGGTTTCCGAATCATCTTTATAACTGTCCGCTTCTGAATCATCCTCAGAGCTATCCGCTTCTGAATCATCTTCAGGGCCATCAGATTCTGAATCGTCGTCAGAGCTATCTGCTTCCGAATCATCCTCCGAGTCTTCGGAGCTATCAGAGTCTTCGGAGGTTTCAGACTCCGTTTCCGAATCGTCCGGAGCGGCGATTCTTTCCGCTTCGTCCTCTGTTTTCACCACTGCCTCCTCTACTCCAACCAGGATCCGGCGTGCCAACTCGTCCTTTTCACGACCACGGAGAATCTCGTCCTCGTAAAATCCGTTACCCTGGATCCATGAGTCGATGATGGCCAGATCCAAGCCGCAAAAGTCGAAATGCGTAAACAAAGCAAACATCATGCATTCTCGCATGTACAAACTCGCTCGGGGGAAAGGGGGGTTGATCCAGTACTTGGCCCACACATCCCGCCATCCCTCACAGTTGAGCATCTTGGCGCGGACGAGAGCCATCACGAAGTGGAAATAGGCAAATTCCTCAACCGGACGCTCCTCGTCGCTGAAGACCAGCTCCTGTGACTGGAACGCCGAAACGAGCGTTTCCTGACCCGCAAAGCGCTCGCTGTTCAGCTGGGGGGAGATGACCGCCGTTTTCCAGCGCCTGATGGGTGTTTCTTCGGGATTATTTGGGAGGATTACAAGCTTGTACGTCCCGAACCACTTCGCGATTTCTCTGTGGAGGGAAAGAGAGTTGCCGGGTCCTCGGAGTGATTCTGCATCACCCCCGAACAGCAACGGGCCGAAGTCGCTGGTATGAACAAAATCGGGAACGATGGGAGCAGTCCTCATATCAGCTACCGGGAACAATTCTCCAGATATTTGGCACCGCACCATGTGTTCTCCGTCAGAGTCTGCGCTCCAACCGTCAGAAGGCACCACCATGGTTTCGCCCATTGTGCTTGTGCCAAACATTGCTTCCCTGCCAGGAGCACCAGGTTCTCGGTAAAGAGCCTCCAGGCAATCATGAAAGTCGAGATTGCTCATAGAGAAGAAACTTGAGTCACGCCGCTCTCCGATCCTCTCCCTCTCACTCGCCCACACCTCCTCACCAGCAGCTAGGAAGCGGTTGCTCTCACGCCTCATCCTTCGTTCGAGAAACTCGAAGGAATGCGGCCATATGTCGAGCTCCTCGATCATCACCTCTCGGTCCACGCCGGCAAGCTCCTTGTTCTTTTCGGCCATCTTGACCTTGAGTATGGCCATCTCTGCAAGTTGAGCCCGGTCGTCGATCACCGGCTGCAGTTCATCTGGTCGGAAACCGGGCTCTACTTCCTCCCGCAGGCATTCGTACCGCCCGAGCAGGCTCAGGTATTCATGGTTCACGGCACGGCGCTGCTTCAGCTTCTCTTGCACTCTGGCTATCTTCTTGGGTTTCAGTCGCAAGCGATTCTCCATGTTTGAGCTTTGGTATAATGTGAGATAAGAGACTTGGAGATTTGGAATTTTGGAGATTTTCTTCAGGCTACAGCAATTGTAGAAGACAAGGAGAAGCACAGACAGGAGGGTTCTGGTCTAACTGGCCTTATTTAACATCGTGTCCATGGGACTCTACGGGTTTCGATACCTCTCTGTATACGAGCAACGTGCAAGTAAGGTTCAAGTTAACTTGTGGCAAGGTCACGGTAAGGTTGTAGGAAGTTTGCCACTTATACATACAATGAGTATGTAGTCTTTTAGACTTTACTAAACTGACTTCAATACGGTTTGCTCTACGCTTTCTGACACCTTGGCATATACTTTGTGACAAAGGACACGATAGTTCAGCTTGCCAAGGCGACCGACAGTGTCTTCCGACACAAAAGAAATGCACATTGAATCCAAGACTAAAATAGGGGGAAAAAAACCAAAATCGTATGTTTTCTCGTTATTTTAGTCATCATGGTCAATAAATAAAAAAAGAGCACCGGGTCCGCGTGCACGGATTCATGCTAGAATAGATTTGCTGTTTGGCGTTTTCATCACCCGCCAGCCTTCCCGGCCGTCATCATGAGAAAATGTCTTGGCGAAGCGACAAGGCTGTATACATATGCTTGAACGAGCGTCTTACCCTAGATATCTATTTCCATCCTGGTACGTCAGCAAGAGCATGAATCTTCACACGCGATTGGGTTTCAATGGCCCAACATTCTTGCGGGCTCTCAACGCCTCCTGCATTCGTGATTGGCAAACTTCACTTGTTGAGCGGCATTATGCAGTTTCTGTAGACCTGGCTGTCTCACATCTGCTGAGTCCATGTGACACTTGTTGTTGGATTATGCCAGCTGATGCAGACATGAACCCCTCACGCCCTTCCATCTGCACCGACCGGAACTGAGTTGCGAAATTGATCTTTCAATTCTAGTCATTAGAAGGTAATATCGACACTTCTGTGGCTGGTGAATGGACAGCGAGAAATAGACCTGACTGTCCTCAGCGCCCATCTATATATCACTTTCGCTGTGTAGTTTCGCTCAAGATGTTTTCATTTGAGGATCAACATGCCCGTGTTGCGCCAGATAATTTGCCAACTGGTCCCCTCCTCGAAGATGTCCTTGTTACGAGAATTCCTAGAATGCTGAGTACGTTCGATAGCCATGACGATGTCAGGGTGGCATTCAATATTTTCAAGCAATTATCGTGTGGCGACTTCGGCCAGCTTAGCGATGCCACTTGGGATGAATTCCCAACTATTTCCCTCCCTAATCAGGATGCGACTATCGCCCATGAGAATCTTAAGTCTATGGTTGACGATTTGCGAAATTATTCAAGAATCATTGCATTGGTTTGCAGTGACAGACGATATCAGTCCTTGGTCTGGGCTCCGGCCCATTTGTTCCTGAGGTTAAGTATACCATGATAAATCCTGACGTTCTTGAGCAGTGTGGCCACGCTCACTGGAACTTTGAGCATAGGGTACTGACATATCATATACAGATAACATTAGGGCATCCCGAAGTGCATAAGGAGATTGTCGAGGTCTACATTCGAGCCACCAAGCTACTAATAGGTATCAGTTTGAATGAACGGGCCGTACCTATGGATCACAAAGGCTTGACAGAGCCGCTTGCTATGATATACGCAGATATCATCAAGTTTCATAGTCAAGTATACGAAGTTGTGCGGGTGTACAGTGAGTGTGTTTTCAAATCTAAAAGGCGAGGGTCGAACTATCTTAATGAGTTGTAGATTGGGAACATCGATTCTTTGACGCATGGGCACACGGTAAGCCACACATTGATAACATCATTAACGACCTAGAAACACACCGAAATCTATTCGACGACAGAGTTTATACTATCGCGGGAAGATACTATGAGGATTTGTTTCTTAAAGGGATTGAAATATGTAGACAGCCGGGGGAAACTTCCCAATATGCCACCATTTCTGATCGGCTCAAGGCGAACGAATCCGAACAGTCTCAAGTCTTTGAGTCTATCGTTTCTAGAGCATCCAAGCCTTTTTTTTCACCTCACTGGCTGCTAAGTCACCCCACAGTCAAACAATGGCTCACTACAAGCACCCCTCCGGCCTTTTTGGTCCTGGAAGGGCATCCTGGAGGCGGCAAGACTGTTTTTGCCACGCAGCTTGTGGCCTATATTAGAGCCCGCCACAAAGAGTCGCTCGTTCTCTATCATTTCTGCTCGTACGCGCACCCATCTTCGACAGAATATTCTGAGATTGTCAAATCCCTCATCTTGCAGATTTATCGATTGTACCCGACATTAGTCGAAGCCTTTAACATTGACAGAACGGGTTCGTCAATCAGAGAAGACGCACTTGAGAACCACTTCCGCACAATGATCGCCTCTCGTTCATTTGAACCGAAAACCCCCTTCTGTGTCATTTTAGACGGGGTAGATGAGTGTGATGATAGCACGCAAGTTCTGCTGATGAAACTTTTACGTGAGATAGATCTTCCCTCTTTTAGGGTGTTCGTATCGGCTCGAGTATTTTTACCTCAGGCCATGGAAGAGATTAGAAATCATCGCGAGGATATTCAAGTGGATATGATATCTCTTAGCGAAATGAAACCGATGATAAGACGGTCTATTCGATGCTATGCAATGCAGAGGTTGGAGGCTCTTCGGCGGGACAATCTTCTAACAGGGGTCAAAACCTCCGATATCCAAGACATGGCGCTCTGCATTGCGAAGAGAGCAGATGGTATGTTGAATGCTAAAACCTCAAAATAAAGCTAAAATTTCATAAGGAATGTTTTTCTGGGCTCGAATCATGCTGGATCAACTGGTAGCAAACAAGTCGTTGTTGGAACGTGACAAGGTTCAGGCAACAATCGATTCAACGCCTCAAGAAATCATGACATACCTGGAACAGAAATTCGAAGGCGAAAGGAGCTTCATAAGAAGAAAGGGGAAAATACTCGGCACAGCTGCAAAACTAGCCATTGGCTGGATTGTCAACTCAAAAGAGCCTCTAACCGTGGACGAATTGATTGATGCGATGCGCATTAGCAGTGATCTGGGAGTACTCAAACCAAGTGAGATAAAAGAAATTGGGCCCCAAATGGTGAGCTATGTTCATTACATGGTTTATGACAAGCCCCATGGAGCCATTCACATACCCCTTCGAAGTGTGCGCCTGTATCTTCAGCATAAGGTTGCCACCGACTGGATCTCGGATATCGACGCTGTTATTGGGAGGACTTGCATCGCTTACTTGTCACGGAGTGTCTTCAAAACAGGTCTATGCTTTTCAGTCCCAGACTCTGAAGCTCAACTTGAATCATACCCTCTCTATGCCTACGCCGCTAAACATTGGGGACATCACGCATCTAAAGCGACGGGTTCCGATCTTCAACGGATTGTCGACTTTCTAGATCACGACCTTTTAGTGGGCAACGCTTACCAAGCTATGAAAGAAGCCCAATCGGAGCCTTCATGGGAACTGGAAACAGGAGTGACTGGCTTACACCTAGCTGCTTTGTTCGGGTTGGAAACAGTGGTACACGCAATGCTCAAGCCTGGGCATGATAGATCCACCGCAAAAGACAGTCTTGGGCGTACCCCATTAGATTGGGCCATCAAGGGAAACCAAAAGGCAGTTGAGGAACTGCTGCGGAATCATCTTACGGTTACCACTTCTGATGGAAATGGTTACGGTCCCAACGAGCGTAGGGCATGGAACAGAACCCAGTTGCACGAAGCTGCGATGCAAGGTGACATAACCCCAGTTCATAAGCTTCTAAGAGAAGGTGCTAGTATCGACGCCAAAGACAACAATGGGGAAACGGCCTTGAACATTGCGTTTCGATTAGGGTTGTTCGAAGTTGCCAAAGTGCTGCTCGAATGTTCAGCAAGCACGACTGGTATTACTGCAACCGACCTCCGAAGAGTGTATGAGAAGAACAATTCGGACGTTCTTCACTTGGTACAATCACCTCGCGGCAAGAGCTCATTGGATTTTCTCTTGGATTCAGACACAGACATCATCGATGAAATTCTCAGTTCAACAATCCAGGATACCAACCACAGGCATCTGTTGTAAGTTTACAGGCCAATCTATGACAGAAATACTGACTTTCGTTAGCGTGTTCGATGAAAAGTCGACAAACTTTTGGGAATCTGGCTGGTTTCCAAAATCCCATGCCGAAAATGAGTTGATTTTCATTGAAGAGCTTCCTCATGCGACCTCTGGAAATCGGAGTGTTTATCGATATTCTGCCTCATTTCGCTTCCCTGTTTCGGAAAGCACTGAAGGCATTCTCTCCGATATGTATGGTAAGAATTCTGGAAAGACACGAATGGGGGTGTCCTGGATAATGGTTCAGCCCCAAAACGAAAGTCGAAGGTCCCGCTTAGAACCAGCTGCGTACTTCAGCAACCTGCCTCAAGTTTTCATACCAAATCAACAGCTGAGGCTTTTAATGCAACTGATTGAATGCCTGAAGACCAGGTGGTTAGAAGTGTGCCAAGAGGGCCGAAATCGGGTACAGGGATTGGTGAGTTGCCCGGATGTCTACCTATACTTAAATCTATCGGATCCTAACAAACGCTACTCAGCGGGAGGAGATAAGGTGCAAATCTGGGAACGATCTGAGTCTTTTGGAACTCCTGATGTTTCACGGGCAGGAGTGGGCGGCGATGCGGCGACTACTGCAACGACAAGCCGACGCAACAATTTCGTTCGGCGAGAGATACCACCGCCACTATTCCGAATTTGACGCCATGGATGGACTCAAAGAGGCAGTTCAAGACTTGCAAGACAGCATCGGGAAGCAATTAGATTCTCTGGATTCGGCATACGAAATGTTCATTGCAATGGTTAGGGCATTAGACACATCTCAAGTCTTGGATTTTCTAACATTCCACAGGAGTATAACCTAGTCTCCCTCAGGGAGGCTGAGCGATCCAACTCGATGGCTCAAAGCATGAAGCGTCTAAGTTGGATAACGGTGGGTTTGGACATGGGCCCGTTTGGAGTTCATTTACCTAACTCATTCACGCCAGTTCATTTTTCTTCCAGCAACTTTCTCGGCGGTACGTCAAGATAGGTTCCATATACTGCCGATAACTAAATTTGGTTTTGTTGTAGTCTTTATTTGGGATGAATATCGATTTGCTCAAGGATAACCCGGACTGGCGCTGGTTCCTCTTGATCGGAGGAATATTCTTGAGCCTCACCTTTACTGGATGGCTAGTTTTTAAATTCACTGAGGTTTGTGGCTGCTTACAATGCCTACCTAACTTCTAGCATTTATGTGCTAACTAGTTTCGCAGCTTGAGGATGGCCTAGAGAAGGTAGCGGATAAAGTTTTTAAACGACCAAAACCACACAATGATGCTGAGAAAGGCACAAAGTCAACTTAGAGGAAGAGACTCAGCTGTCTCCTCAGAGCGATTTGATAGGTAGTCAACGCTACCCCAAAGACCCGGGGAGGGGCATGCCAATCCCCCGCATATGCCAAGCCCATCGGGGATTGTTGCTCGGAATCCGGATCACTAGTTGTTTTGTCAATATTTGTAACAGCATCGGACTGAATATGTAACTTATTGCGAACACATTCTCTTCGCTGAAGACACATCTGTATTTGAGCACATGAGCCTTTCTAGCTTTAAACCATAGCAACTCTCATTCGAGCCATCTGCCCAAAGATCAACCGATGAGTGATAAACGGGTATGCGCCATGCCGGGAGGCCCCAGTCCCCGTTCAGGGTGACAGGCAGCCTCACTGAGCCAATTATTTGCAGCTTCCCATAACGAATTGGGGAAAAAGGTCACCGGGATATTAAGCAGCGCTATTTTTGTGAACAGAATATGTGACAGTGGTATAAGAAGGTAAAAAGAACCCCCGACTGGTCAGGCCATAATATAAGCGAACAAAAACCGCGACTTCCATATATCAAGGATCTTTGATTTCATAGTCTCATTACCCCCTCCGACTCTCGGCTCTACTTATACCTCACTTTTCGACCAACTCCTTTCACCCCTAACTAAGCCAGCTTATTTGAACTGGTCTTCCGTCACACCATGGCCCATTGCCGCCGTTGAGCTGATACCTCCCGTCACCATCTTCTGGAGCTCATCAACATAGGTGGCACCACTCCACTTCTGGTGCTTGACCACATCCACGCCGTGGTCCATCTCGGGCTCCTGGACAAGCTCTCCGTACGCTCGCATGCCCACACTGCTATAGGCCTTTGCGAACTGGTCGCTGATCAGTGCTGTTGTATGTAGACCAGCCAATGTGATGAACTGCCAGCAGTAACCCAGGCCCGCCAAGCGTCGGATGTATGTCTCCTGCTCGTCACGGGGCATCGCCGTCTTCCAGTTGAAAGAGGGAGACAGGTTATAAGCAAGCCTAAAGTGCAGGTGGTTAGCTTTTTGGTAATCAAAATCCGTGTTTGGATTGATTACTTACTTCTTCTCTGGCCAGACAGCGTGGACGCCCTCAGCAAACTGCTGGGCTTGAGCATAGTCGGGCAACTTGCTTTCCATCCAGATGGCATCGCAGTATGGGCCGTAGGCAATGGCTCTATTGATAGCACAGTCGCATCCGCCCTTCAGACGGTAGTAACCCTCGCGTGTTCGGGGTGCCTCCCAGTCGAAGAAGACATCCTTGCCCAGGACTTTACGGGCAACGGCACGCGCCTCAGTGTTGGACTTGCCCTTGGCCCCGGACAGATAGTCACTCTTGGCTTGAGCCTTGTTGGCGACGCTGCTCTCGGCATCAATGGCTGAGACAACAGCATCGTCGAAACGCTGAAGGTTGGCGGCGGCGAGCCACTCATCTTCAATGCGCTGCAGCTCACCACCTGTCTTGCCTTCGCCCTCAGCCTTGATCATGAGCTCATTGAGCGGCGGCAGGCTAGGGTTCGTTGAACCAATAATGAAAGCATGATCACGGGGATCAATGGTGGTTGTGATGAGTGTGGCGGCTTCGGCGTCAGTACGGGCGACAGCAACAAGATCAGAGCCTGTTACACGAACGATTAGTTTCCGGGGGCTTAACGACACACAACTCTACGACTGTTGAGGAAGTCACTCACCCATAATGTCAGCCTGGGCACGGATGGCCACAAGTCGGTTGATGTGTTCGCTAATAGGCACCAAAACCTTGCCCGCCATGTGACCACACTTCTTGGTTCCTGGCGCTTGGTCCTCGATATGGATACCAGCAGCACCCTTCTCAATGAAGAGCTTAGTGAGCTTCATGACGGCAGTCAAACCACCGTGCCCGGTATCAGCATCGGCAACAATGGGGCGGAGGTAGTCGATGTTGGCCAGCTTTGATCGCTCGGATTTGGGGACGCTCAGGCGCTCTTGTCGTTGCTTGCGGTCGTGGAAGAGCTGTGCCATGAAGAGATGGCCAACCTTGTTGGGGACAGTGGTCTGGGAAGGACCTGTTAGCGACGCCTGGTATAAACCGCCTGCACGAGGATATACTAACGTAAGGATAATCAGCCAGATCCGGGCCAGGCTCATCAGATGATGAGGCAGTTGACGACGATTGCCATCCGGAAACATAGACGGTGTCGAGGTACTTAGCCATCTGTGTGACGGCGGTAGGTTCCATGCAACCATAGGTGTAACTGGCATCTTTGGTCTATTGTTCGACTTAGCAACAGATCTAGGAGGGAAGTGCCGAGGCAACTACAACATACCGCGAAACGGTTCTCAAGAATGTTCCAAAGCTTCTTGGATTGGGCATTGCTGGGGTAGTCGATCTTCAGGTTGCCTCGCTTAGAGACAATCTGTTCTGCAGTGAAGGGTCTCTTGGTGTGCCGCCAACGGGATTCACTCCACCATGTCTTGACTTGCTCGACCTCCTTTGCGAAGATCTCGTCTTCATGGTCCGGGTTCACGGACTGGTTGACCATGTTGTTGGCCGCCATGATGATAGTTTGTGGGGTGTGGGGTTGGATGCACAACGGCAGAGCAGTACGAAAGTCAAAGATGGATGTTAGGGTGGGATATAAGTAAATGGATGGGAGGACTAGCGATGTAAGAGACAGCTGGTCACGCGATGCTTCAGGAACAGATAAGCAGGGTCAGGAACGTCAAGGAGGGGAAGGGGATCTAGCTTCATATAAAGATTTCACGGGACGACGACCGGAGAATGGAGAAGAGTCATACATCGGCTGTTTGGTAAGAGGCAGGGTCAAAACCAGGAAGAATGGAAGAAGGGTCTCGATGACTCGATGGCACGTGTCGGTCAAATGGCCCAGCCTAAAACCCCAGAACGAAGCAGATGAGAGCAGAGAAGCTAGACTAAGACGCAAACTCACCTGTACCGAACAGCTCCCACGGCGGCTCGTGCATCTTGCCCCAATTGAGGTGCTAGACTTACGCCATTGCGCCTCGGGAGTCAGGTCAAGTCACAGGTGGCAGACGGGCAACTCGCCGGAATAGGCCGGTGCATCTAGATAGCCGTCCCCGGGACATAGCTGTGACATGTACGTCGTGTGCCTAGGTACACGAAACCTGGAATCCCACGGCGCGCGCTCAGTATCGGGATAGCTTGGCTGCCGTTCGTTTAACGGAAAGTCCAGGCTAAGCATAGCATTCGTGCATCGAATCGCAGGCGAGCATTGGCTGCTCCTTTGGGCTGCCCCGTTGGGCTGGTGGGTATCGCAGGTGCTTCAATCAATAGATGTCTTGCTTTCTGCTGCAGTCGCCATCGCCTGGCCTCTCGGAGCAAAGGGGCCCCATTGAGTTTGCACGGCAATTAGACTTCAGAAGGCAATAGCCGTCGTTGGCCGAGGTGCCGAATTTGGGATGGCATGGGCCCGACAGTGTGTGAGACAACCATGACGGCCGATCTCCATTTTCTGGGGCTTCCAGGGCCACATCCGTCTATCCAAACCCACCCCCTCGGCGGAACGAGCGCAGCTGATGGGATGTAAGAAGGTCCCCCACCCCTGCGCCGATGCCGAGAGTGTGTGTCGATATGCAAGATGGCAAGATGGGCGACCGAACGTCTACGGACCGCGTGCGCATGGGAGGAGAGCGTCACGGCGAGATGGAGGGTGAAGGAAAAGAAGCCAGTTGAAGATTCCCTTGCCCAGTACAATTGTTCTACGTCGTGAGAAGGTACCTGCCTAAGTTCTCAAGAAAATTAAAGGAAAGCGCAGGGAGGACAAGAAATGGCAGGAACCAGAATCACTGCCGGGAAGGGACGAGCGACGCCTCAGCCAAATCCAGCTGCGCCTTAGGCCCGGGGTACCGGAGCTGGGTCTCGGGTGGGTGAGAAAGCATGTGAAGGCACCCCAGTCCAACTAATCGCTTCGTCTCTCCCCCCTTCGCAGCTAGTGCTTTCTTTTCTCGATCCAGGTGCATGGAGACCACCCTCCCCAGATGTACGTAGCCGGGAATGCCACTCGTTGGTAGACGGATCTACGAGATTTCCTCGTGGACTACCTCGGCCTACGAGACTCGCTCCGATATTGATATTGCTGTGACTCAATAATGGGAAATCGTTCCCTCTTCCTCTCCCCCTATCGGCTTATGCTTCTCATTTGTTCCTACATATTCTGGGGTAAGGTAGGTGGATTGGCAATGCACCGTCGTCACATCACGTCACATGAATATTTTGCGTAGCCTGTCCGGAGGATGGTGTAGACGTTGACATCCTGACATGTGCCTCTCACGTTACATCAAGGCAGGACTCTCTTCACGCTCAGAAACTGAACTCATGGGGCTTACAATATTGTGTCTGCGTAGATGAGATCTCACAGAATATAGCATTGAGGAACTAACAGAGCTTGCTCAAAGTCCAACATCGCCATCCCTCGAGTAGGCCCCAACGAAGCAACCCAGAGACTCCCCTTTTTGCCGTCTACCAACCGAGTGAGTTCTATAAGAGAATAGACCAAAGATAACACCAGGAGAAATATGGCAGGAGAAATGAGACACCAAAAACGAAAGGAATATGTGTGCGAAGGTGGTTCTCCCATCACGGGGGAAAACAGCCAATCCCCCGATGTCTATCTACATTTACTCGTTTTCAGGGAGGCCGAGCTGGGCTAATGCCTTCTCATCATTGGCCTCGATCGCTTTGATAAAGGTCGGGTACGGCGTCAAGGTCCCCAATGCCCGTCTCATGTGAGCATTGACAATCTGCAAGCCATAAACGTAGCTTGCATTCACCCAGCCGAATCTGTGACGCCCATAGTTAGCATAGGTTACATTTAACGGTTCAAGGACCGGGGTGGAGGCGGCCAATAGTTGGTCAGACAATCGCTTACCCTTCCTTCGCGACTCCTCTGAAGTCAAGCCCCTGATTACCGTACTCT